AAAATACTGATGGAAATAGCTTCTCCTGCAAATGCAGGTTTTGGTGTGTCTGGCTGTTGTTGAAGAGATGAGGACAAACACGAAGAAGGCAGAAGCAAAGAACAAATAAGAGGAGCTCTAACAGGAAGTAAAATAACTTGGTTTAACTGTATACAACTGGAGCAACGGACAAAGAAGTGGTTAAGGGAAAACAAGAACTGTAAAGAATATACAAAAAAATTGGGGGGGAGATTATAAAAAGAAGAGATAGAGAAGAAAATACAGTTATAAAAGGGGAAACCAGTGAAATTTATAAAATATTAGTAGAAATGGAGGATGAAGAAGATCAATTAAAAGAGGTGTGGGAAAAGGAGACAACATGGCAGATAGTCACAGCTGGGGGGGGGATATGGGAGAAACATTGAAAATGTTGTCATAAGAATAAAAGAAAATTATTATAAATTAGTTTGGAGATGGTATTTAGCACCAGTCAGATTAAATCAAATAAACAAGGAATATTCGGTGCTATGTTGGAGGGGATGCCAAGAAACCGGGAATTATGTTCACATGTGGTGGGATATAAATATGTTCAATTTTTCTGGCAAAGGGCATTTAAGGAGATAACAGAAATCACTGGGTTAAAGCTGATCGAAAGTCCAGAGGTAGCATTATTATCAATTTACGATGGGGTGGAAGGTTTGAAGGCTAGGAAGAACTTGCTCACAAATTTATTGACAGCTACACGAATTATTATAGCTAGGAAATGCAAGGGGAAAACAGAATATAAAATGGAAGAATGGGATAAAGAGGTGTGGGATATAGCTATGAATGATAAATTAACATGTGCTATTAAGGTAAGACGGGGAATATGCAGGAGAAAATATTTTGAGGAGATATGGAGGGTATTTGCGTGAATTCGTACTGTACTGATCTTGGTGGTGGGGTGCACATTTTCATTCTTAATTATTTATAATTATTACTTTGTCAAAAAAAAAAAAATGAAGAAGGCATGCTGTGCATAAGCAGTTAGTGATAATTCTGGCTGTGACGATTCCATCAGGGGTTACTTTCACCCACATCTGCATTCCTCCTGGGATGTCCACCTCCCCAGGCTCAGTTTCCCCTGCCTTGCCAAATACCTTTGTACTTCCTCCTATAAATGCAGTCAACAAACACCAGGAGGAGGAGACATCCGCAGGTGCCACATCTAATGGCCAGTGAGATTAGACAAGGATATGAACCTGCAAGAGAATTGCTGTTGATCAGAACGGGGTTATTGGTCAGAGAACTAGTCAATTGTTACAAAACAAGGCTTGGCTAGTATCTATGAACTTTGCTGCTCCACATATTCCCCTCTTTGGCCATTCTATCTTCCACCCTTCCTCTTCCCTCCCTGGTCTCTGAAGGTCCATTGATTGGCCCTTTCTAAATATTATTCTTTCCAACCATCCATATTCTGTAGTTATAGGCTGCCTTTCAGGTCGACCCTCTCAAACAGAAGCATGGCAACATCATAACATTCCTATTTTATCACCTAAAACATAGCCACGCATGATAAAATAACAATACAGTACCATCAGATATGAAACAATACCACCAGACAAAAAAAATAACGGTACAAAAGCAAACAAATCAGGCAGCAGTAGCACTGCTTCCATTTATTTTCGTAGGGTGAAAATAATATTCCTCACTGAGCTGAATCAGGTGGGTTATTTACAGTGCAACATTTATTTATTTATTTATTTATTTATTTATTTATTTATTTAGACATTTTGCTCCCTTCTAGTGCAACTGCAGCACTCAGGGTGGCTTATTACCTATACAATCACAATTTTATACAAATATAAAAGAAAGAAAGAAAGAAAGAAAGAAAGAAAGAAAGAAAGAGAGAGAGAGAGAGAGAGAGACAGGGTCATGAGAGGGGCGTACCTTTTTCTGAATCGTCATTCTTTTGGTCTGTGGTTGATTTGGGATCACAGCAGGTGGATGATTTCCTGCTCTCCTGAGCATTGGTGCTGCTGGTTGAGGTGCTATAATGCAGACTCAACTGCGAAGAGCTGGACCAGGAGGTGCTTGATGCAAGGAGCTTTGTGCGTTTTGAGGGTCTTCTTGTGATGTAGCGAGAAGAGCTGGTTGATGAAGTTGCCAGTGTTGACGTTCTAGGGGGCCTGGTTGTGGCGGCAAAACTCAGAACAGCCTGGTCCGGGGTGGAAAAGGTAGGCGTTGTGGAAAGTGGTTCATCTGCAGAGAGAATCAAAGAGAATCCCAAGGTCAGAAGGGATCCCCATGTGACGACATCCCTTGTATGCTCCTCGGGGCAGGCACCCTGCCTTTGTTTCCTTCAATGTTGTTCTGGAAGGGTACCTCATACCTCTTGTATAATTCCTCAAGCTGCTGGCAATCAGAAAAGTGAGCAAGGTGAGCAAAATAAGAAGGAACAACACTCTGCACCTCCTCACAAACTGCTGCTGCAAGCTACCAAAATCTGCCTAACGGTTTGCCCCTTTAGAGGCAAGGTGATAAACTGGCACTATAAGAGTGATATAAGGAGATACCTAGCGGAGCTTCTGAGGGTAACCCCTAGCTCTATTGACCTGAAGCATATTGATCATATTAGCAGCAGACCTCAGAGGCAGAGAGTGCTGCTCTCCTTTAAAACCAAAAAGCTCCCTGCACTTATTATGTCCTCAAGAAGCCTTCTAATTAACTATGGAATCCTTGCTACAAGAGTCTTTACCAATACCAAGATCTGCTCCCTCTTACCAAACTGCTTGTTCAAAAGAAAGCAGATAAGTCTGAGGGTCCGCCAATTGCTACGACCCCAACTCCCCTGGCCGCAGATCTAATCAGCTGGTTTGACGCCCCCCTGCCTCCACTGACAAAGGCCACACATCTGGAGAACTCTACGGAGCGTGAGTTACTTCTATCCTTCTCCCAATTGCCAAAACTGGAGCGAACAGAGATAACGGACAGATTGGACGAGTTGCTACTCTGTCTCCGTAACTCAGAAGATCATGCTCATGTAAATAAGATGAATTCTTCACCAATTGTAGATCAGGCTACACAAGCCCAAGTGGTACCTGCTTTAACGACCTTTGATCTGCAACCTGGCCGTGCACAGCCTCGGGATGTCAAGTCCGGGCAGGATACAGTGGAAGATTCGACAACCCTCTGGTCAAATTCGGAAGCTGTGGCAAGACTGGATGCTCTTTTGGAGGCAAACCGAAAGGATGCCTTCCACCTGCCTTACACTGCATGTTCCCTACAGCATCTGCAGATCCAAAAGGCCCACCCCTCAATCTTAGAGCATACTTTAAATGTAGAGTCTATGGACCTGTCGTTAAGTGATACTCCTGTGCACCAGAATCCATCCTTGCAGCTTCCAATAATTAAGCCTCAATCCATGGCTGCTGCTGCGGTAAGTGGTGCTCGGAAATTGCCTGGTAAACAAGCTACAATTACTTCCTTCTTCCAGCCTATTGTCCCCCCTCGCCGCATGCATTCCCAGGTGGATTCTGCCGTGCTGGTTCCGCAAGGCCCAGCATGACTCGAAGGGGTGACCAGGAGATTACTTACTTTCTTATCCTGGAATGTAGCTGGCATTAAACCTAAGCTGATGGATCCATCCTTTGTCGCCTACATAAAAGGCAGTCATATTCTTTTGCTGCAAGAGACCTGGGCTTGTGAGGGCTTCTCCCTATCAGGGTATAAGGGCTTCTACCTGAATGCACATCAGAATTTACTATCTCCTGGCAGACCACAAGGTGGGCTGGCTACCCTAGTTTCTTTGGCCTTAAACCTGCAGGTGGAACAAATCGACATCCAGTCGTCATCCATGCTGGGTGTTAAGCTACAAACAGCGGAGGAAGTGTTTGTGGTGATTAATGTTTATTTGCACCCAATCTATAAGAAAAACCTGGTGGTCCAAAGATGGAGGGAAATTCAACAGACTCTTGAAACTCTCCTAGAGAAATATCCTGAAGCCACCTTCCTAGTTGCAGGAGATTTCAATGGCCGATTGTCTCACTCTGATAAATCATTATTTGCTAAATATAATAAATATCCCTCACTACCCATTTTAACCTCAGACCTTTTACCCAGGAATTTTAAAGACAGTGTTGCTACATATGCAGGTTTTAAATGTAGACAAACTTTGATGGCTCTTAATTTTCACCTTTTAAACGGAGCTCTCAGTTCTGATTACCCTGCCGAATTTACTTTCTGGTCAGGCTCCCGAGCCTCTACCATAGACTTTATTTGGACATCAGCAGACCTAATTCCCAAAATTTCCAACTTTAGGGTGGTAACGAGGCTGGAAAGTGACCATTTTCCATTAGAACTTTCTCTGACCCTGGATGGAGAATTGGCTACCTACTCCTGCGTGCCTATTACAAATAACCAGCTTCAGATGAGGCCCACTGCCTTAAAATGGACCGATAATATGGCTCAACGGATAAATGAACTCCTTTGGTCTGACCAACTGCAAGAGACAAGGGACTCCCTTATCCAGGCAGTTGAGCCACTGCCAATATATGACAATTTAGTAGAACTGCTAAAACCTTCGCTGGCTAAGACCCCGGTAATGAATAGTAACCATTTCTCTCATAAAAAGTGGTTTGATGAGGAATGCAGGCACTTCAAGAACAACCTATATAATGAATTCTTGGCATATAGGGCATCAAATGACTCCGCACCTAGCAGTCACCTTATGATCCTCAAGAGAAGGTATAAAGCACTATTAAAGGAAAAGAAGCGTGCGGCAGAAAGAAATGATTGGAAGAACCTTCTAAAAGCTGCAGAAAATAGAAATCCCTCCTCCTTTTGGCACCAAATTTCCAGATACCTGGGTAGACCGTTGTCAAGGATAGAACCCCAAATTTCAGCTGACACCTGGGAAAGCTTCTTCTCCGTTTTATATGCAGCTCACGCAGCTAGCGGAGGAAGGTTAGATTTGGCCCCTTGCCAGAGTGGGATCCTGTTACCTGCTCTGAAGTGGAAACACTTATAGGCCAATTTGAGGCGGGCAAGGCACCCGGAGACGATCTTATTTCCATAGATGTTATTAAAGCCAATAAGGATTGGTGGTGTCCACCCCTAGCAGCTCTTTTTACTTATATAAACAAAACAGCACAATTTCCTCCAAGCTGGAACTCTGCACTGATTGTGTTAATTCACAAGAAAGGGCCGCGCACAGACCCGGCCAATTTTAGACCAATTAGCCTGCTAAATGTTATCGGGAAGATCTATTCAAGATTTCTACTTAACAAATTAACGACCTGGATGGAAAGCAACAATATCATCGCAGAGGAACAGGCGGGTTTCCGCCCGGAAGATCAACAACAGACCAAATCTTAATCCTAAATCACTTGGCCACTAAGTACGCTGGCAATGGCCTAAAAGCCCTCCACGTCGCCTTTATAGACTTTAAGCAGGCCTTTGATCTAATTCCCAGGAACCAGCTATGGACAAAATTGGCAGCGACATCTATCGACCGCCGCCTTCTCTTGCTGATTATTAATTTGCATACAAATACCCTCTTGAGGATTAGGATAGATAGTAAGGGGCTAGTCTCCAATCCGGTTGCCACCACTAGGGGGGTAAGACAGGGCTGTTTGCTTGCCCCTGCTCTGTTTAACTTCTATATAAATTCGCTAGTGGTGCATATGGCAAATGCTGATTTCCATCCACCAAAACTGGCAGGACGAGCCTTGAATGTCCTACTGTATGCGGACGATGCCGCCCTATTAGCTACCTCCCCATCGGATTAAGGAGGATGCTTAGAGCTCTTCATGAATATGAGACCCAACACGAGCTCCAATTAAATTATGCCAAGACCAAAATAATGGTCTTTGCTGCTCGACCGAAACCTAATTTATGGTCAATTAACGGTATTCCTTTAGAGCAGGTCAGTTGCTTCAAGTACCTGGGTCAGGTTGTAAGATCAAATAGGTCCTTCCTGGCGCACAGAGAATACATAGCCTCGAACGCATCCAAAGCAGCCCTGATGATTAGAACCCTGTACTCCAAGAAACAGGCACAAACTGTCAATGTTGCCTTACGTCTCTTTAAAATGAAAGTCCTCCCTCTTCTGCTGGTGGGCATTGCCTTGGGCTCACGTAGGGATTTTGAAAAATTGGAATCTATCCAAACCCAATTCCTCAGGGCCATACTCAGGATCCCCCCCTCTGTGGCAGGTGCGATCATGAGGCTGGAAACCGGTTGCCAAGCCTTTAGGTATGTGGCCCTGAAAGCGAAGTTATGGCTATGGCTCAAGCTCTGTTTCAGACCGGTGGGTTTGGCCCCCTTGATTCTGAGGGATAACTTTAAATCTCCATGGGAAGGGGAGATAGTGGAGGAAGTGCAGAAGTGTGGGTTGTCCTCCCTTTATATAGAGTCCATGACGTATAGCCACGCAAAGGCGGTGATCGCGCAAAGATTAAGGGATATTGCCAGACAGGAGGACATAGCCCGTGTGAAACCTGGGTTGTTTCTGGGGGAGCAGTTGTATCGGGCTGCCCCAGCTCGCTACCTGGCGGATATCCACTATGTGGAATACCGCAGACTATTTACTGCGGCTAGGCTGAATGTTCTTGACTCGGCGGTCCTGAAGGGAAGATATGGAGGAGTCCCATATGACCAGAGATTATGCCACTGTGCATTGGGTGAGGTAGAATCCACAGAGCACATTTTATTGAGCTGTCCCTTCTACAACGATTTAAGACAGTATCTTATAACTCCATACTTACCCCAGCTCAGTTCCCGACAAAGAGGAAAGCAGACAGCATATCTGCTAAATAAGTCTTCTGGGAAAACAACCTTGTCAGTGGCTAAATTTCTTTTCCTGGCACTCAAGTGTCGGAAACGTATAATTGAATGCTTTGACGTGGGTTATCTGTGAGAGATCTAGTACTGTGGCTCTACCTTACTTATGTACCTTATGTAACTTATGATGTTATAGTTTATAATTATTGTGTAATGTTTTAATTCTGACTATCGGTCGAATAAAGAAATTGATTGATTGATTGATTGGTTCTGGAAGGGGCAATGTGTTTCAAAGGCATGAAGGAGCATATTACAATATAATTGTTCTATTATTGAAGGACATGCTTAAATGTTACATTGCAAATGGGCCCCTCGTTAGAATGTCTAGCCTGGGCAGATAGAGATAAAGAACAAGGATTTATTGTCACACCAGGATGAGGGAGGTTGCAGGAAGGAGGGAGAGAAGGCCAAGACCTTGTATGGTAATATAGGAACTTATTATAAGTTTCGATTTCCCAGAAATCAGGTGACTTACAAGAAATCAGGTGACTTACAAGAGATCAGGTGGTATTCTATTTTGCAAATCTATATAAAGGGGCGCACCCTGACTACTGTGTACAGGTTGCGTACTGATCGCCCTGTGCTGTTGTTCTGCATATGCACTTCAAATAAAATCCTGTTAATAACCTGCAAGAGCATTTTGCCGCTTTGTGTGAATCTGTGCTTCAGGGACCCAAATAGCAGATATGTGTGGTCCTTCAGGCAGACTGGAAACAAGCAAGCTGATAAATAATAGAAGAAAAGGGGAGTTTGGAAGGACTATTAAATTACGGGTGATCTTCGAATTCTGTACAGTGGTACCTCGGGTTACATACGCTTCAGGTTACAGACTCCGCTAACCCAGAAATAGTACCTCGGGTTAAGAACTTTGCTTCAGGATGAGAACAGAAATCGTGCTCCGGGCGGCGCGGCGGTGGCAGGAGGCCCCCATTAGCTAAAGTGGTGCTTCAGGTTAAGAACAGTTTCAGGTTAAGAACGGACCTCTGGAACGAATTAAGTCCTTAACCGGAGGTACCACTGTACATATTCTACTAACAAAATTATTCCCCCTATTCCTTGCCTGCCCAACCTCCCCCAAACTCAGTCCACCTTCCCATTTCCCCCTCCAAGAGACCCATATTACAAAGAAAGGCCTCCTCACCCCACACCAAAATCCTGATGGAGTTGCTCTCTTTCGATGGGAACTCTCGCCCTGATACCACAATGTGGTACTTGCAGGAGTAATCGCCACCATCTTGAGGAAGAAGCAGTTGTATGTGTGTGAAGGTGTTCAGAGAGGAGGGGACATTGATGAGTTGCAGTTGCCTCTTGTCCTTGAAAAACTGGATCTTTGATACATCACGGCTTTCATAAGCTGAACATCTAAGCTTTATGGACTCTTCTCTTCTGTAGCTATCCTTTTCTGGCGAAACAGTTAAGACTGGGGGATGAGGGTGTTCTGAGAAGGAAGTAGAAGGAGCACAAAGGAAGAACAATCTTTGTTAAACACCTCTGTTTCAGGAATTTGGTGCATACCCATCTTACTGGTTAAATTATTTTAACAATAAACCCTCCAGTAAACCTTGGAATCTGTGGTTCTGGCGGGGTCTTGGAATCTCTAACAGACCACTCATGTCAGGCTTCAGGAAATTGGCTTATTCCCCCGTGGCAGTAGATAAGCAGAACAAAGGAAAATGAGTCTTCTTACCAGTTAGAAACTTTAATAATCACAGCAAGAGAATAAAGAACACATCTCTCCTAGAAATGGCGGTGCTCCCAATTAAGGAACCCACCCCCTTCCTATTAATTTACGTCACGTCTACATCTTGTAATCTGAACTTGTACCCTCTGCGCTTTCTTTTCTGCCACTTTCTGAGCTGTCCATGACTTTGGAGAAGGGGGGGGGGGTGAATGTTGTCCAGAGACTGCGAATCTGTCACCTTGTAAAATAACCAGGCTGACATTTCCCATGTTCCCCACTCCCTGCTAGACACGGAGATCTTTTGGATCTCCTCCATCAACATGCAAAAGAAACTCTCTCACCTGTCATGACTACAGAGACTGGGGAGCTCACTGGGGACGGGATCATCTGTCCTGAATTCTGCACCCAGTATAGGCATTTGTATACTCCAGCAGTATTTTTATCCACAGGGAATGCTGCATAGGGGCCGCTTCCTTGATCTGGCAACACCTTGTAGTTCTGATCATGTTGTTCCTTGTAGAAGTTGAATCCTGCCACGTCCATTTCCTCAGGAGCTGAACAGGTCAAGGTAACCCGTTCTCCTGGACTGTAAACAGGTTCCTGTGGTTGCTGAAAAAGTTCAGCAGGTGGGAAGGACGCTGGGTTCCACAGGAAGCAGAGGGAGAGAAGCATCCAAAGATTTAGGGAACAACGTAAAAGGGAAAGGTTTTCTGTTTTCTCACAATTTTCTTTCTAGGACTGACACATACTGTATGTTTCCTTCTATTTCATTAAAGGATTTCTACCCCGCTTTTCATTTGCAGAAATAAATACCCAACTAGTCTACATAATAAAAAATAATAGGAGAGAACAAATATGTGAAAAATAATCAAGAAAATCAGTGCCGGATTTACGTATAAGCTAAACAAGCTATAGCTTAGGGCCCCACGCTCTTGGCCCCCCCCCAAAAAATTAAAGGAAAAACAACAACCTGGATGTACATTTCCAAAATATAAGATAAAAAACAAAGAAAATAAAACCTACATACAGCAAGTGTGTTTTGTGTTGTGCAGGCTCCTGCGATGTAAGTCATGGGCCCCGCCTGCTAACCTGCTCCCTAAAATATCACTGGTTTGCTCATTTCTATATATAGGGTGCCTACATTCTACATGTGCAAATGGCTTTAGATACCTATTAGGTCCATAAATTACCATATAGCATATATTCAACCCAAAAAACAGCAACAATTTGTTGTTGACAAAGGACAGCTGGACATATAAAAGGCCCCGTTACCTTCAGTAGCTGAGGGCCTCATCAAACCTAAATCCAACCTTGAATAAAATCATCACAATGGCCAGCGAAGGCTGAAGGGCTAGGTATTCATTTCACCCTACGGTTTCTGCCTGTCTAATCTCAGCAGGGAGAGCATTCTGTAGGTAGGAATGGAAAAGGATCTCTGCAGCCCCAACCAGATGGAGCTTTGCGGGCGATATGTAGAGTTTAGTAGGGATTCAGTAGGATTAACACAGTTTCATTCCCCCTGTCCCTCGCTCACTGAAGATCACCCATTAGGGTGACCAAGGCCAATTTAGTCCAAAAACCAGGCTTGAACCCAGACTGGAATCAGTATCTTCCAATCTTCCATGATTAAACACCTTTAATAGACATGGATTCTTTTAGGACTCTCATTAATGGAGTGGAACAGCAGGTTAAGTTCAGCAAAAACATTTACTTTTGAAATCCTTCCCAGAGGTCTGGACATCCTAATGATATCACACAACCTTCAGGGGATTAAATTAAAAAACAACACCCAGTTTAAATAGCATAGATCCTCCCTGAAGAACGCGGGGAATTGAAGTTTTGCGAGAATGCAGAGAAACATCATTAGCAATCTCTATAACCTCCGTAAAATCAATATTGCCAACATATCTTGCGAGAAAACAGTGGCAGCCAACTGGCTTAAGTTTAGAAACAGACAGAAACCCTTTACCCTCATTAAGATAAAAAAACAATTTTATCTCTGTTTTATTGTTAACTTTACTATCTACATTGCTTAGAATTTCTTTGGAATAAGTAGTATATGATTTCTTTGCACAAGTAAAAAAAAAAAGTAGCAACCCACATAAATATGCCAGAATTTCTGGATTGCCTTTAGGAAGACGGAGAGAACTTTTTGGGTCTTCAGTTAATGAGCTAGCCAAACTTTACACACCAGGGATGGAAACCTCAATGCGGTTACTCCGTTCAGACAGTTGTCCTGCACTGCTTTCTTCCAAGTAGGCACAGACAAATGATTTCTTTCTTTCCTGAAATTCTGCAGTGATTTCCAGGGTATTATTGAAGTCTTCTTGGAGTTTAGTCCACCCACGTTCTGCCTTCATTTCATAAAATAAGAACTTGGCTGCCAGCTGCCCTTCCGGGTGGGAGCATTTCAACGTGATCCATTGTCCCTGGAGAAAGGACTGTCTTGGAGGGATGATGGACAGCTCTGGAGCTGGTGGAGGCAGAACTGCATTGGGGAAAGGGAAGAAGTGCAAGGGGAAAATGCCATTCAGCCCCTTCCTTGAGCTATTCTCCTGTAGTCCCTCATCCATGAATTCTTTAAATGAGTTGTTGGTTCAAGGTATGCTTGTTTAGTGCCAAGAATGCCTTGGTCCTTCTTAGTCCTGCATTAAACAAATGCTACACACAGATTTCCACAATCTACTTCCTTGGGGTCACTATCAAAATCACCTGAACAGCATTCCAATAATTCTATTCCATTAACTGGTGGAACTTTTCAGCAAAACCTTTTGATTTTTGACAAACATAATTTCTCGAGAAAAGCTCACCTAAATAAGCACGTTTGAACCTTGGGTTGCCAGATGTTGTTGGACTGCAACACCCATCAAGCGGCTTGGTGGATGACTGATGGGAGTTGTAGACCAATAATCTCTCTCCCCCTCAATAAGCAAGCAGATTAATGAGAAAAGGAAATAGGACTTTAGAAGGATTACAGAATCAGCTACTCCAACAACCCTTTCCGTGTCACCTACTCCTGCTGCAACACCGACTACCCTCCTCCCCTTGGTCTGCATGGCCACTGTCCTGCCCCATTGCTACATCAATTCATGCATTTCTATCAGTGCATGCAATTCTGTCACGATGAGTACATTTCTCACCAGTGATGGACAGCACAACCTCGTTACTCAGTGAAGACAGGAAGAGTTCTTCTGCACTCTTTCCCCCCAGGTAAGAACAGACAGTATCTCCCTACCACTCAGTACCTGAAGTTATATTAATTGGATTACCTGCAAGGGCTGTCATCCAGGAAAGAGCTGAAAATGAGGCTGAAAAACAACAGAGGAGAAAAATGTGATGCTTAGATATATATATAAAATGTTTTTGGCATCGTTTCAAGTTTCATAATCTGGACTCCTAAACAGCCTCATACACATTTCTTTTTCTCCCAAAGCAATACCCCCTAATCTGACGCATTTCTGGAGGTTATGATTTTATTTTGGGGTTTTTTCAGGAAAGGTAAAGGTTAAAAACAGCCAACTTTCCCATGCCAGTGACATTGTGTGGATGCTGTGAATGATTTGCCTGAGATGCTCATCCCTCCCTAAAGACCCACCTGGAAACAGAGAACAGAGGCAGAAGATTTGAGTAAACACAGACAGTGGAAACTGGGAAGAGAAGTGTAGATAGGAGGCTCCAGGAAAAGGAAAAGAGTGGGGTTGGAGGGGAGAAGAAGAGGGTCTTACCCAGGAGGACAATGAGACGGCCAATTTGCTCCATGCTTCAAAGGCTGAGTTTAGAAGAAGCGGCTGCAGCAGCAACACTGAGCTGATGTATCTGCAATAGTAATCTTCTTTCCAAACACACTGAGAAGAAACACAGTGGCGTTGCTGAGCATCCTGGGTGCGCAACTGGTGTCAAACGCGGCTGACCACCAGGGTGGCCTCAAGAAGAGTTCCCAGCATGCCTTGCAGCACTGAGCTGCTCTGCAGAAGCTGTCATGGCCACTCTCAAATGCAGATGTATAAGCTGAGAGAAATTGGGTAACTGATAAAATGCTGAGCACATTAGCACCTACCATAGGGAACATAGGGAAGCTGAGGCTTTTTAAAGTCAATGGGGGATGACAAAAGATCTTTGCAAAACACAAACACTCATTTACAGTTATCAAGCACAATATACACAGCGTCACACCGGATGGAGGCGCAGCTATTTTGCACAGCATCACACAGAATGAAACAGTCCTCATGCTGGTTTGTGGTCCTCACTTTCTCTTTTGTGCATATTTTTGGAAACTGGTTTTTTGGGGCAGCTCTGTGACACGTAAAGAGCAAGAAGTGGTGACGTGGAGGAGAAGCAGAGGGAGGGCTTGAAAAAAGTGTCCTTGAAGCCCATGTCTTTTTCACGGGAAAAGAGGCAAGGCTGGCAATCTTTCTCCACTTCCAAATTTCACTTCTCATTTCATTCCTCTCTTCCCATTAACCATGGCTTGCATGTCCCTGACTGAGAAATCCCAGACAATCTGCCTCAAATTATTCCGTTCACTTCTCACAGAGTCACAAACCTGAGGAAACCCTTAGCAAACTACAGCGCCCTGAATTCTTGGAAGGAAGGAATATTCTTCAAATGTGATTTGAAGGTATAAGTCTGAACCCAGCCTAAGTTCCTGGAATAAGAAAGCTTCAAACATTCTTTCTGATAGATCGGACACAAACAGTGAGGATTGGATGTGTAACATCTAATTCCTTAAAAATCAGGACTGGCATACCACAGGGATGTGTGCTAAGTCCCTACTTGTATTCATTGTATACATACGATTGTGTATCATCTGACCTGCCTACTGCAATAATTAAGTTTGCAGATGACACCACCATAATGGGTTTAATAACAGGTGGAGACGAATCAGCGTATAGAAGGGAGGTCCAAAAAATATCTACATGGTGCCTAGGGAACAACTTGCACCTTAATATCAGCAAGACAAAGGAGATGGTGTTGGACTTTCAGAGGAAGAGAGGAGAACTAGCCCCGCTGTACATCGGGGAGGGCTGTGTGGAGAGAGTCTCTTCCTTTAAATTCCTAGGAGTTTATCTCAGTGAAGACCTTACTTGGAAAATAAATACAACCCAGGTGGTTAAGAAAGCCCAACAGAGACTCCATCTCCTCAGAGTCTTGCGGAAGAACAATGGCAATCAACATCTGATTATCTCCTTCTACCAGTCAACAATAGAAAGTGTCCTTTCATACTGCATCATGGTGTGGTATGCTGGTTTGACATCATCTGATAGGAAGTGCCTACAGAGGGTGGTGAACACAGCATAAGATATTATGGGCTGTCCCGTGAATCCACTGGATGAAATAGCAGAAGTACGTTGCCTCAGGAGAGTGAGGAAAATTCTCAGGGATGATTCACACCCTGGCTGGCATTTTCTTGATCTCCTGCCCTCAGGCGGAAGATATGGAAGCATGATTAGTCGTACCAACAGGGTAAAGAACAGCTTCTATCCATGGGCTGTTAGGCTGCTGAATGAAAAGATAACAACAGGGCAACTGACTTTCGGGTTTGGTGGGTGTGCGTCAGTAAACGAGGAGAATTAAGACTAAGAGAGCTGAGTGGGGGGGTGCTCGTGTAATCTCACTGTAAACAAGTTGTACAAGTGACAATAAAGTATTTCAATTCAATTTGCCTTTGACAATGTGATTTTATATCTCTCTATATACAACAAAAGTCTGTAAGCAAGTCCTCCACCCTCTTCACGCTCCCAAATGTCAGCTTATTTGATGCAAAGCATGTTGTAAATGCTTGTGATCTGGCCTGTGGCCAACAGCTCTTGACAACTGTCACGTCTTGTCTTATTCATAGCCTTTCTCCCACTTCCTCTGACTCTGGGGCTGTGAAAGGATATAAAATGAAAGAATGGTATAAAGAGGTGTGGGCTATAGCTACGAATGATAAATTAACATGTGCTATTAAGGTAAGACAGGGAATATAAGAAATAGTTTTGTGGAGGTATGGAGGGTGTTTGTAGATTTTGTATTGTTTAAACGGAAAGGGGTCAAACCATCGCAACAAGTGTTGGGGAAGTTGGATAGTTACAATGGAATGATCTCGGTGGTGGAGCTGCACATTTTTATTCTGATTTATTTATGATTATTACTTTGTCAAAAAAAGAGGAAAAGAATTCTAGAACTTGAGAACTGGAAGGGACTCTGAGTCCAGCCCCCTGCAATACAGGAATCTTAACGAAAGCATCCATGACAGACAGCCATCCAACGTCTGCTGAAAAACCTCCAAAGAAGGAGAACCCACAACCTCTCAAAGCAACTACTCTATTCCCAGCTCAAGAATGGAAAGCAAAATACAAAAGAGATGTTTAAAGACTTTCTCAAGGCAAATGTTTTTAAAATGTAGTATAAAAACTGACAACTGGGAAACAATGGCCTGTGAGCGCTCCAGTTGGAGAACAGCCTTGACCAAAGGTGTCCTGGGCTTTGAAGACATTTGAACTCAGGACACAAGGGAGAAACGCGCTAAGGCAAGCTTGGCAAACCCTCACCGTGATCAACTCCCACCTGGAAACCAATGTCCCCACTGTGGAAGGATGTGTGGATCCAGAACTGGCCTTCACAGTCACTTACGGACTCACTGTTAAGACCGTGTTCATGGAAGACAATCTTACTATGAGGGATCGGCAAAGAAGAAGAGGATGGCCCTCTGTCCTGGATGCTTTAGTTGAGATTCCTGCATTGCAGGGCCTTCCAATGTTACAGTTTAATGGTTACATGAGATTGTACAGAAAATGGACAAAAAGAACGTATTCCTGTACGCAACAGCAGCGGCTAGAATAGTAGTGGCAAAAAAAAAGGGAAATCAGAAAGAATACCTGAATTACTAGAACGGCGAGCTAAAATTTATGAATTTGCGGAGATGGCAAAACTAACGGCGTCAATTAGAGGCTGCTATAATCAAAAAACTTACAAAGAATGGGAATGCATACAGGGATATATTGGTTTGGTTTCAGAGCTAAAATTTAACATGCAATAGCCTGAAGGACACAAGGATACAAGAGAACATTACAATACAAACATAAAAACTAATTTTATAGCTGTTAACACAACAGTATGCAGAGAAGATCGCAAATGTGTGAAGGGAAGTAACAGGTATAGGGGGAGGAAATTGGAAAACTGGGGCAGTAATTGGAAAACTGTAGAGGACAAATACGCGATTTAGGAGGTCAAGAACAAGGAATTAAAAGAAGAAGATTTAAGTTAATGAATAGTAAAATAAGGAGACCTGAGAAGAATTTAGTACAAAAGAAAACATGACAGTCATGTTATTGCTTCTGTCTGGGTTTCTTTTGGTTGTAAAGTTTTCTGTTGTAAAGGTTTATTTTGGTTGTAAAGTCCTCTGTTGTAAAGATTGTACATAAAACCAATAAAACAAATTACTAAACAAACAAAGAAGAAGAGATTGTTCAGAAAATTAAACTCAGCTGAGCGTATTTCAGGAGATGTTCAATTGATTTCAAATATATTAGAGAATTTACAAGTGCACACATTTTGTTTTTGTTACTAAATCATGCATATTATGCAATAAGAATTACAGTGCTATCTAGTATAATGGTCTGGGTGTTGCTTGTATTGTTTGTTGAGTGTATTTCAGGGGCTCCATAGGCCAATGAATTGGGAAACTGAGGGGAAAGAGAGGCAAATGTGACTTTTTCCAGGCTGAGGGAGAAGACCAGGAAAACCGGAAGAAGCCCCCGAATCTTCTGCTTGAGGCAGGAGGGGAACCCCAATTCATCCTCTGGCCAGGGACCCCCCTAAAACCCCTCATGGGCGCCTGAGGAAATTACGTGAATTAATGGATTTCAAATGGTGGCTGCTCAGGAGGCCTCCGGATATGAGGACCAACTCTTCTTTTTCCAGACTGCTTCCCCCCACCCTCACAGTCAAGAGCCTATAAATTTTATGAGATAAATCAGTTGCCCCTGGGAAGAGGACAAGAAAGAACTTTTCGAATCCCCACGAAAGAAAGAAAAGGCTCATGAGGGAGCAAGCGATGGCCGCCTTCCCTGCCTTGCCAAGGCTCCCCTGACTCTCCCTGAGGAGAGAGGGGGAGGGGCGGCTCTTCCAGCACTTTCTAGGGCAGGCTGCCTCAACCTCGGCCCTCCAGATGTCTCGAGACTACAATTCCCATCATCCCTGACCTCTGCTCCTGCTAGCTAGGGATCATGGGAGTTGTAGGCCTAAAACATCTGGCTGAGGAAGCCTGTTCTAGGGGGAGGAAAAAGGCGGGAAAAGGCCTCAGACTTCTGCTCAGTTTCTTCATATCCCGGCCTGTTCTGAGGAGAAAAAGGGTCCCCTTTCTGAGGAAAGTGTCTCATTTCGGAGGAGAAAAAGCATCTCCTCAGGAGCAACCCATTTATTTTATTCATTTATATCTATACTCCTCTTGATTGCAAAAACACACACAAAAGAAGCCTCAAAGCAGTTTACAAAGGAGAAAGCAGTAAAACTGAGAAAGATTTGCAGGTGTACTTTGAAACATACAAAAGCTAGAATGCTGAAATAGATTAAGATTTCCTCAGGTTTCCGTCATGGCACTCCTTAGGTTTACTCTTACTCCACTGTTTTGAGGATGGGTTATAATAATGAACAGAAGCCATAGCATAAATTGGTAATTCTACAGGCGATGGGCAGTGAGAAAGGATGAGTGAATTTTGAAACCAAAGTTGGAAAAGTTATTGTACTGAGAGCAGAGAAGGAGATCCTTTATCATCTTGGTTGCCCTCCTTTGCCCACTTTCCAGCTTCTTGATATCCTTCTTAAATTGTGGTGCCCAGAACTGGAAACAATACTTCAGGTGGAGTTTGACCCGGGCAGAAGAGGGTGATACTATGAGCTCCCTTGATATGGACACTGTACTTCTGTTGATGCAGCCTAGAATAGGATTAGTTTTTCTTCTTTTTCTGCCGTATGACCCTGTTGACTCATGTTAAGCCTGTGGTCTACTAAGACCCCTAGATCCTTTTCACATGTACCCCCGGCAAGCCAGATGCCCCCCAGCTTATACAGTGGTACCTCAGGTTACATACGCTTCAGGTTACATACGCTTCAGGTTACAGACTCCGCTAACCCAGAAATAGTGCTCCAGGTTAAGAACTTTGCTTCAGGATGAGAACAGAAATCGTGCTCCGGCGGCGCGGCGGCAGCGGGAGGCCCCACTAGCTAAAGTGGTGCTTCAGGTTAAGAACAGTTTCAGGTTAAGAATGGACCTCCGGAACGAATTAAGTATGGTACTTAACCCGAGGTACCACTG